GAGAGAGAGAGCACATGAGAGGGGGGAGGGTCAGAGGGAGAAGCAGACTCCCTGCCGAGCAGGGAGCCCAATGCGGGACTCGATCCAGGGACTCCAGGATCATGACCTGAGCCGAAGGCAGTCGCTTAACCAACTGAGCCACCCAGGCGCCCTAGTTTATTGATTTTTAAAAAGACACATTATTATCTATCTATACACATACGCACATACCTCCTATAATTAAAAACAATGTAAGTGCATATTGTCTTGGCAGAAATTATAAGAATAATTTTAATATATTGAATCTAAAGAATGTGAAAGTTAAGGACCCAAAATAACAAAAACAATAGTGAACACTTAATATGGTGCTTACTATATGCCAGGTACTATTCTAAGCACTTTGCATAGATTAACTCATTTAATCTTCATGGCTATTCTGTGAAGTAGATGAAGAAACTAGCAAAAAGAAGCTAAGTAACTAGGACCCCTAGGATCTCAGCAACCCTGGGATAGCTGGATCCACCTGGCTATCTGCTTCCAGCTGTGAGTTGAACCAGCACACTTCTGCTCTTGTTGCTTAAAAGTGAAAAAAGGTTTAAAGGGAAGAAGAACAAAATTAGATGAACACTCAGAATGCTGTGGAAGGAAGATATACCGTAACTCCCCATTACTTGAAACACGTAAAAGGCTTTAAATTTCAAACTATATGTGGAAAGTAGCAGTCACTGCATGCTTTCAATAGCTTTGAAATAATTTTTTTTATTATGTTATGTTAGTCACCATACCTTACATCATTAGTTTTTGATGTAGTGTTCCTGATTCATTGTTTGCGTATAACACCCAGTGCTCCATGCAATACATGCCCTCCTTAATACTTTATATTTTAAAAAGTGACTGAAAGACATACCTATTAAGGAATTGTTCGGTAAGATTTTGCTGCTGATCAGGACCATCTTCCTGATTCACACCTCCCTCGAGCAGCATTTGTTGGTATATCTGTCGTTGTTGCTCCTTCTGTTCTAAATGCTGTTGATAGCGTAATCTTTGCCTATAATATTCTTGAAATTGTTCTGTTGAATCTCGAAGCTTAAAAATATTAGAAAAAGTAATATATTTGAGCAGACTATGATTAAATATATGTCCCTACCCAACAGTAACTTCTATAAACACTGGATGAAATATACAAGTAGCTATATTTAACAATTAGAAAACACTTAATACATTGCTCTTTGAAAAATAATATAGTACCCATGAGTTTTTATAGTCAAGTAGATGAGTTAATTTGCTTTATTCTAAAGCAAGAGATTGACCAAAATGAATGGTCATCCTGGATCTTTGACAAACCCAAAATAAAAATACAAATTAAAGCAGTCACAAGGGGTCATGGAATTAGATCTGTACCGCTTGAAAAAAAATACTGAGAGACTACATTAGTATTTAATAAACACAACAATGACTTTGTCCAACACTTAATTTGAGCATGTAAATGGTTTAATAGGTTACTCTAAAGAGAAACTTTAAAAATTTCCCTCAAAAACAATACTTTAATTCAGGTTTCAAATGGCCTTTCACAAGAAAGTGGAATAAAATGGATAGTAAACTTAATCTCAACATTTCTAGTTCATTCTTCTAAAATAACTATATAGCACCCAAACTTACAGGACTTAGGTATTTAGTAAATTCCAATATTGGCAAAAAAAGACGCCCCTGCCAAGCTGGAGTCCGGTCACATTACATGGATCATGTGAACTGGGGTTACCCTGGAACAAGTCAATCATCTCTAAAATTGGCCCACACTGATGATAAGCTTAATGAAGAGTCTTATACAGCTAACTAAAGCTAAAACTGTCTCCCCTTTTCCAGGAAGTAGTAACAATCCTCCTCTACTTCATAACCTACAGCAATAACCCTGAGACAAAATTATCTATGTGTCCTTTTAAATTTTTTATTGTTGGTAGAATAGAAAATTCGTCATTTTAACCATTTGTATGTGTCCAATTCAGTGGCATTATATATATACTCATTATATATACACTCACAACATTATGCAATAATCACCACTATCTATTTCCAAAATTCTTCATCAACCTCAGAGAAACTCTGTAACCATTAAGCAATAACTTCCCATTTCTTCCTCCACCAAGCTCCTGGTAACCTCTATTCTACTTTATGATTTTGCTAATTTCAGATATTTGATATAAGTGGAATCATATAGTATTTGTCCTTTTCTGTCTGGCTTATTGCACTTAGTATGATGTCTTCAAAGTTCATCCATGTTGTAGCATATGTAAGCATTTCATTCCTTTTTGTGGTTGAATAATATTCCATTGAATGGATATGTCACTTTTGTTTATCCATTCATCTGTGGATGGACACTTGGGTTATATCTACATTTTGATACCATGAATAATGCTGCTATGAACACGGCTATAAAGATATCTGTTTGAGTCCTGCTTTCAATGCTTTAGAGTGGATTCGAGTGGAATTGCTGGGTTATATGGTAATTCAATATTTAGCTATATTTAAGCTATGTTTTAGCTATATTTAATTCTATATTTGAGGTACCACCAATCCAAAGTGCACCATTTTACATTCAAATCAACAACATATGACGGTTCTTCTCCACCAACACATTATTTTCCACTTTTTTTTTTTTTTAAAGATTTTATTTATTTGACAGAGAGAGACACAGCGAGAGAGGGAACACAAGCAAGGGGAGTGGGAGAGGGAGAGGCAGGCTCCCCGCTGAGCAGGGAGTCCAATGCGGGGCTCGATACCAGGACCCCGGGATCATGACCTGAGCCGAAGGCAGACGCTTAACGAATGAGCCACCCAGGTGCCCCAAATGGAATTGTTTTCTTATTTCCTGTTCAGATTGTTCAATGCTGGTAATGTAGAAGCACAACTGACTTTTATGTGTTGTTCTTGTGCCCCGCAACTTTGCTGAACTTGTTTGTAAAATCTAGTAGCTTTCTTACGAATTCCTTAGGATTTTCTATAAATAGAACCATGTCATCTATAAATAAAGATTAGCTTTACTTCCTTTCCAATCTGGATGGCTTTTATTTCTTTTTTCTGTCTAATCACCCTAGCTAGAACTTCCAGTAAATGTTGAAGAACAGTGGTAAAAACAGGCATCCTTGTCTTTGTTCCTGATTTTAGGGGGAAAGCTTTTAGTTTTTCACCACTGAGTATGACATTAGCTTGGGGTTTTCATAAATGAACTTTACTGTGCTGAGGAAATTCCATTTTCTTAGTTTTCTGAGAGTTTTTATCATGAAAGAGTGTTTGATTTTGTCAAATGCCTTTTCTGCATCAATTGAGATGGCCAGATGTTTTTCTGTTCTTCATTCTATTAATGTGATATATTACACGGATTTTTTTTTTTAATATTGGACCAACCTTGCATTCTGGGATAAATCCACTTGGTCAGGGTACATAATCCTTTTAATATGCTGATGAATTTGGTTTGCTAGTATTTTGTTAAAGGATTTTTGCTTCTATTTATGAAAAATATTTGTCTGTAGATTTTAAGATTTTATTTATTTTGAGAGAGAGAGCATGCACATGGGGGGAGGGGCAGAAGGAGAGAGACAATCTCAAGCTGACTCCATGCAGAGTGCAGAGCCCAACTTGGGGCTTGATCCTACAACCCTAAGATCATGACCTGAGCTGAAATCAAGAGTTGTATGCTCAACTGATTGAGCCACCCAGGTGCCCTGGTCTGTAGTTTTCTTTTCATGTAATGCCTATATCTGGACTTGGTATTAGGGTAATGCTGGCCTCAGAATGAGTTAGGAAGTATTCCTTCCTCTTACACACTTTTGAAAGATTTTGAGAAGGACTGATATTAACCCTTCCTCCAATGTTTGGTAGAACTCACCCATAAAGCTATCTGATCCTGGATTTTTCTTTGCTGGAAGCTTTTTGATTACTGATTCAACCTCTTTACCGTTATAGGTCTGTTGAAATTTTCTATTTCTTCTTGAGTCATTTATTTTTTTTTTTAAGATTTTTTTTTTTTTTTAATTCATTTGAGACAGAGAGATACAGAGAGAGAGCGCATGAGCAGGGGGAGGTGCAGAGGGAGAGGGAGAAGCAGACTCTCCACTGAGCAGGGAGCCCAATGTGGGACTCCATCCCAGGACCCTGGGACCATGACTGGAGCCGAAGGCAGAGGCTTAACCACCTGAGCCACCCAGGCACCCTTCTTGAGTCATTTAGGTAATTTGTGATTTCTAGGAATTTGTCCATTTCAACATGGCTATCTAATTTGTTGGCTTACAGTTGGTCATAGTATTCTCTTATAATCCATCTTATTATTGTAAATAATATGTATTACAATACATATTATAATACAAAAAATGTATTATCCGTTTCTGATTTTACTTATTTGTGTGTGCCTCTCTCTCTCTCTTTTCTTGGTCTAACTAAGCACTTGTCAATTTTGTTGCCCTTTTCAAAGAACCAACTTTTGGTTTTACTGATTTTCTCTACTGTTTTCCTCTTCTCTATTTTTTCTCCCCTCTAATCTTTATTACGTCCTTCCTTCTGATAAAATTTGTTCTTCTTGTTCCAGTTCCTCAAGGCATAAAGTTAGGTTATGGATTTGAGATCTTTCTTCTTTTTTCAAGTACTTATTTACAGCTATACACTTCCCCTGAGCACTGCTTTTGCTGTATCTCATAAGTTTGGAACGTTGTATGCTTTGGTATGTTGTATTCATTTTTATTAGTCTCTAGTCTCTAGGTATTTTCTAATTTCCCTTTTGATTTCTTTGACCCATCAGTTAAGAGTGCATTAATTTTTACAAATTTGTGAATTTTCCAATTTTCCCTGTTATTAATTTCTAGCTTCATTCCATTGTAGTCAGAGAAGATATTTCATATGATTTCAATCTTTTAAAATTTATTGATATTTGTTTTGGGTCCTAACATACACTCTATCCTGAAGAATGTTACATGTGCACTTAAGAAGAATGTGTATTCTGCTAGTGTTGGACTATTCTTTTTTTCTTGTTAGTATCACTTTATTTATATATTTGCATTCACATATTGTTAGTATTCACATATTCATAAACTTACCAACACTTGGAATACTAACACAGACCTGAGGTGTCTAAGAAAACAACTCCCTGTATAAAGACTGATACAGGCACCTCTGGGTGAAAAAAAAGGTGCATCCTCCAAAGCAATAATATTGTTGTTCTATAGATGTCTTTAGGTCTAGCTGGTTTATAGTATTGTTCAAGTACTCCGTATGCTTATTGACCTTCTGTTTAGATGTTCTACCCATTAAGTGGGGTATTGAAGTCTCCAACTATTATTTCTCCCTTCAACTCTGCCAATGTTTGCTTCATAGATTTTGGGGTTCTGTTGTTTGGTGCATATTCATATGTATTTTTAATAGTAATTTTTCTACTTCATTCTTAATATTTAGTTGAAGACAAAAAAATTTATTGAACTTATTAAAACTACCTCTTCACCTCTTCTAAATGGCATACCATATAAGATAAAATTTATACTCTCCTTTATCATACAATTTCTTTTCCAAATCACCAGAGAAAAATAATTTGGAATTCTAAAAACTTGGATAAAAGTATTTTATATTATAAATGTCATAATTTCCTGTTCATTAAATCTAATTAGTAAGATATGTCTTAAAAATACAAGCTATCCACATTTAATGTGAGTTCAATTACTTGAGTCCTGAAATATGTAAGATTAATGTAAACTGTGGTATTTTAGATTGTTAATAAATTCACCTGTTAAAAATACTCCAAAATACATGACAACTAAAAATACCATATGTCCTTAAGGAAAAAGGGAGAAAATGACTTAATTAATAAGAAAGTCTAGATATTCTCTCACCTACCTCCAAATATTGGAAAATTCCTTTTACATTCTATCCAAGCAAATACTATTATTTCTTCCACAGAGAATAATTCTGAAAGACACTAGGTATATTAAATATTACCTCATTTTTTTCTTGCTTAGCTGGTCCTGGATTCTGTGTTCCATTTGCAGGCTCTTTTTCTGAAACTGAACTCTGGCCCAGGATTTCACTGCTTATAGGCCGCTGTGCCTCAACGGGTGTATCACTTCTTCCAGAAAGGTGCAAAAAACAAACAGGAAGAGGTAGGGGTGAAGGAAAATATATTCTAGTTAGAGAAATTTTAATTAACACAATGAATACTTAATCTAAATGTTTATCAAATGTGCAAAAATAGATTTTTAAATCTTCCTTTCTTCTTTTAAGGGTACTATGTAAGAAGTTTTTTTTATTTTTTAAATAGAGCGTGCTTATAACAGAAGTACACTGGATTATTAAGCAAGGAGCGTAGTGGCTCCAGTCTAAAACAAGGTGTGTGGTCTTGCAAAAATCACATTCTCTGTGGCTCAGCTTCATCTATAAATTGAACTGAATAATAAGCTGGATGACCTAATGCCTGAATTCTCTTCATGTATCTTAATCTGTGACTTTCTTATCCAAACATTAATTTTTCCCCTCCAATATGTTTCAATAAAATTTTAAGAACTGTTAAGATTTTATTAAAAGACTGTCTTTGGCTTATTTGCACTTAACATAAAAGCTAAATATACATCTTCCCAAAATTTTTAATGTATACTAATCAGTAAGCTTAATATCTTATGTTAGGTTGTTCCTAATATTCTTCTAAACACTAGCAATTTCTACTTTTCATAGTTACTCTGTTCAAAATTTTTAATAACATCATCCAAAGATGATGAATACCACAGACATTTACCTATTGGCATAAGGCACCATGGGAACATGTACAAAAGTAAAATGATCTTTGCCTTGAAGGAATCTGATTATGAGATGGTTTCATAATGGCCTCTCCAGGTAGAAGTATGTAAGACATAACAAATTACAGGTCTAGGGTTCAGGAAGCAGAGCTAGTCATCCTCACAAAGGCACCATTGGTTAGAAGCTTTCTAACCTATAAATATATCAACTTACATAATCACATATGTACCCAGACGAGGAAGTAGAAAGACTTGGGAAAAGTTTTTGGCTACCAGTCAGTGCTGTAACCTGCTAATGACCATAAGAGGTCCCATTTTATGTCCACAAGACAGATTTTCTAAGAGTTATTAACTGTATATAGAATAAAATGACCTTTATAATGAATTTTTCAATTTATATAGCATTTCCACATGCATTATCTCATTTAACTTGCACAGTAACTTATGAAATAGATTGTAACTCCCATTTCACAGATGAGGAACAAAGTGATTTTCCTAAAATTGCACAGTGCTAAATAAAACTAGGATTTGAATCCAGATCTTCAGGCTCCAAATCCAATGCTGACCCATTCTTGAGAATTTTTATATTTCTGCCATTTAATTTTGAGACTGTTACACTGAATAGCCAAAGCTTATATATTTCAACTGATTTTTCTTCCTTTTTGAGTTTATGTTTGAGTGAAAAGCTGTCTTTACAAAACACTGCATACTCTCTTATAAACCTTTCCTTTGTGTTTTATCTTCTTATTCACCACAGTAACTCAATCACTATACCCAGGATGCAGCATGGTGCTAGCACAGAGTAGACACTCAAATATTTTTAAACAAATATTGACTTCAAACATGAATTACCACAAATAAGAGGTTTCATCATGTGGCATCTTCAACATAATTGATCTAATTAAGCTTCCCAATATTTTTAAATTACACCTCAAATATTTTTTAAAAACAAGGTTAACTCTTTCCAAAGTAAATTTTTATACTTTATCCACAGCACAGTAGCCCTCCCATAGCATGTTATTAGCAGCCCTTTTGACATACTGTCCTTACCAGGAGTATGACACTCAGAAGGGGAGAAATTTATATTTACAAAGCATCATTCACATACTTGCCACTCTGCTAGGAGCTTTATCTCACTTTGCAAGTCAATACCCTATTTTATAGAGGAGGTCATTTAGGCTCAGAGAGATTAAGGACTGGTCTCAAGGTCATACAACTACCAAATGGCAAAGCTATTGTTGAAACCCAAGTCTGACTCCAAAGATCATGTTCTATTCATTATTCCACACTGCTTGGCCTCTTATATAAGTCTTCCAATTTCCCAAGCATGAGAGATGTTTTCTGGGTTACTGCTACTGCTCAGCCAATAACACATGTATTACTCACTTTCTAATATGTCATTTTTTACCTCTGTTTATTCTGTAATCTAGTAACTTACACTCCACTTCTTTACATCTTTATCCAGTCAGTCCTCAAATTTCTACTACTTTCTTTACATAGGCAAGAGCACACGTAGAGTCAGATCTGGCTGGATTTTTGTGTGTCTCTTTTCCACACAATCCCACTGGTGTACAAGTCCAAACACGTCATTCATTATACTGACCAAGAAGTTCTGATCATCTTGTGTACTCAGAATATCAGCAGTTCAACGAGAACTGAAGTTCAACATTCCAAACAACGAAAATTTTCTTTGAAGAGATTGGAAAGTCCAGGGTAAGTTTAAGATAGTCTCTACCAATGCTCAAGACTCTCTATTCCTTTAGGATTTAGATAATAGGAAGCTCCTATATTAAGTTATACTCATCCATTTTCATGACTAGATATCATCTTTATCTTCCAAGTAGAGCAATAAGATGCCTTAAGAAGTTACCCTAGGCTTTAGGAAGTCCCCTCACTTAACATCCTAAAATCCTCCCTTCTCTTTAAGGAACATTGAACAAGATATCACAACCCTCTCCTGTGCAATCTCATAGCAACTTAACAGAAAATGATCTCAGGGCTGTGAGATCAAGCCCCACGCTGGGCTCTGTGCTGGGTGTGGAGCCTGCTTAGGATTCTCTCTCCCTTTCCCTCCGCCCCTCCCCATCCTTCCCTCTCTAAAAAAAAATAAAAAATAAAGGGACTTGAACATTAAACACACACACACACAAACACACAATCTCACACTTGTGAATATTTTCTAATTTTGATGAGCAAATAATTACCGTTCAGGGGATTCTTCGTAAATACTGTGACATTCTGTATTCTCAAGCATGAGACTTCTACTGAGGTTTTGCACACCTGGATAATGGAAGTTAGCAAAGGAGTGTGACATTGGAGAAGTTTTGTTTCCAAGGTCTGAGATTCTCTTATCATGACTGGTAAGTCCACAAGTGAGGCCATCTAAAGCAGGATTCAGAGATCGGGTCATATAGGCATCAGCTGATTGAGGCCTTCTCATTGGAGATGATGGATAGGGAGAAAGTTTGCTGATAAGAGGAGTCAAAAGATCAGCATATGCAGCTTTTGTAGGTTTCAGAAGTTTGTCAACATGAATATTAAGCATTTTCTGTTCAAAAGCACAAGAGAAGACAGAAGATGGGAGATTCTGAAGCCATGATAATAAACTCAGATCCAAGTCATCACAACCATTACCACACAACAGGTCAATGCCAAGAAGTACTTCACTTTCTGTAATTTCTTCTCCAGTTGCTTTACTTTGACAAAATTCTACACAGCATTCATAAAGTAGACCCTTCATTACAAGCTGAAATAAACGATTGTTACTTGCTTTAAAACCTGCCTCACTTAGCTTCCTATCAGCAGGGATGAATTCTGCAACCATGACACAAGCCTCTTCAAAACAGTGAACTCGTGCAGTGCTGGGATTCCAGTCCTTAAATTCAGCATGATTGGTCAGACGAGGCAAAGTCAAAAGCAAACAGAGCTTGCTATAATCATCTTTAGAAGGACAGTACTCTTCTAGGGCATGCAAACATTGCACAGCTTCTTGCATGGTAAATTCCAGCTGTAAGAAAAATTTAAGTGATCACTATAAAGAGAGATGCTGTGAGATAAAAAACAAGAGTATTTTATTCAAATACAAAGATACTTTACAAACTTTCATAAACTATTCAACTGCAAAAAGATAAACTCTAGTGTCATAGAATACTCAACATAACTTGCAAGATATTTAATAACAACTCTCAAGTCAAGAATCAAAATGTTTTTCACTACTGAAATAAAAATATTAAATAATTTGGTTAATTAGTGACCTAAACTCTTCCTATAAAAATAGTATTCTAGTTCAGGCTTCAGACTATCATTCTCAAATGCATAATTTTTTTTAAAGATTTTACTTATTTGACAGAGAGAGACACAGTGAGAGAGGGAACACAAGCAGGGGGAGTGGGAGAGGGAGAAGCAGACTTCCCCACAGAGCAGGGAGCCCAATGCAGAGCTCGATCCCAGGACCCGGGGATCATGACCCGAGCCGAGGGCAGACGCTTAACGACTGAACCACCCAGGCACCCCTCAAACACGTAATTTTTTAAAGTCAAGAATAATTGAGTTCTCTAGAAATGAAAACTGAAGCATGCTAATATTCAATTGTTTATATAGCTTGCTATCACTCCAGCTTACCCAAAAAGCAAAAGAGCCATTCTCAAACTTGCCATAAGAGAAATTTGTGTGAAGAAAGCAAATTAAAGGAAAAAAAAGAACATTTACAGTTCATTTACTACAAAAACAGAATGAAGACAGAATAAAGGAAGCTTAGCTGAGAGACAGATTACAATAATTTGTATACTGAATATTTTATTAGAACCATAAGCTTTTAATGATGTAAGGAATCTTAGAGCTTACATATTCACCTTTCTTCATCTTACATATGGAAAAAGTTAGGTAGCAGATTTAACTGAAGTAATGTAGTTGGTTAGTGACAAAGACAAAATAAAAATTAGGTCCTCTGACTTACATTCCAAAGTTCTTTCCACATTTAAACATCATTATTTGGCAAACATTTCTCTATTATACATGAAAGTCCTCATCGTAATATCTTTTGAGTTTATTTCAATGAACACTTACTGGCACTTAATAAGTTTCCTTGGTTTGGATGTAACAACACTATTATTAAAACTTTAAAAATAACTTTCTAACCAAAAAACCCTTCATGGGGCACCTGGGTGGCTCAGTCAGTTAAGCGTCTGACTTTGGCTCAGGTCATGATCTCAGGGTCCTGGAATAGAGCTCAGTGAAGACTCTGCTTCTCCCTCTCGCTCTCCCTCTGCCCCTCCCTGTGCTTGTGCTCACTCTCTCTCAAATAAATAAACAAAATCTTCTAAAAAAAAAAAAAAAGAAATGTTAAAAAAAATCCTTCGTATCATTAAATTTAAATTGTCATAAAGGCATAAAGATTTTATCAAAAACCACCTCTGTTGTGCTGAGCACTGGGTACTGTATGTCAGTGATGAATCACTGGATTCTGTACCCGAAACTAATTTAACACTGTATGTTAACTAACTGGAATTTAATAAAAACTTGGAGAAAAAAAAACACCTCTGGATCAAATACTGAAAAAAAAAAAACAGAAAAAGAAAGTAAACATAATCCACTTCTGTAATAAGGAAAAAGGAAAAATGTAGCATCATCTTTAAGTCAAACATCTATTGCAACCTAAATCACCTTAAACAAGAGAAGAGCACATATCCGCCAACCAGCCAGCCATTCATTTATCATCTTTGCCTAAATCTTGGAAGCATTACAGACTGAAAGTACTACAGCTGCAAAAGAGTAAATCTTACCCCATCCTACCTCATAAAAACTTTGAAAATTCATGATACTAATCTTTCGTTTTCGTGAATAAAATACTTATGACTGAAACAAGACTATGGCGCAAACCTTCAGGAATAAAAATCTTACATGCTGGGGCTCATCTTCTGCTGACATTGCATTGTTAACACACAAAGCTTCTAAAAACTTCTGCTTCAGGATAATATAACGAAACCTGTGAAAAATAAAATATGAAACATTAAAATTAAAAAGCTGAGTTACAGCAATGTCAAAGATTGGAAATGAAACCCAAGTCCCCAGAGCAACAGAGGACACATATGTTCAAAAGGACTAATTATTCCTTTAAAATTATATATATTTTTAAAAGTTTTACTTATTTATTTGACAGAGAGAGTGAGAGAGCAAAAGCAGGGGGAGCAGGAGAAGGAGAGGGAGAAGCAGGCTCCCCGCTGAGCAGGGAGCACGCCATGGAGCTCAATCCCAGGACCCTGGGATCATGACCTGAGCTGAAGGCAGACGCCCAACCATCTGAGCCACCCAGGTGCTCCTAAAATAATATTTTTCAAAAAATTAATTTTCCAATGTCTCATAAATCAAATGCACTTAAAGTTACTCTAACTACCTTTGCTTTCAAAAAATTATTAAAAGCGGCGCCTGGGTGGCTCAGTCGGTTAAGCGACTGCCTTCAGCTCAGGTCATGATCCTGGAGTCCCGGGATCGAGTCCCACATCGGGCTCCCTGCTCAGCGGGGAGTCTGCTTCTCCCT